CATGCGGATAACTAGTAATAGTTTTACCAACGCACGTGGCACGAGTACTAATCGATAGAAAGTAACACGTTTGCTTTGAATGTACAGGCAAAGAAGTAGATTTGTATTGTTTGTTACATGAATATTTATTTCGTTGATATTGAAAGGTAATTTTCTTTTTTTACATAATTTTTCCAGTGAAGAGGAACTTCGTTCTATTGGGTAATAATTTTTTTTATGAATTTTCGTTTTTTTTTTCTTCTTTTTCTTTCAAATATTTTACATTTTGCAATAAAGGCTTTTCAGTTTTTCACTTTATCTTTTTACCGAGAAAAAGCTAACTGTGAAAAATCGGTTTGCGTAAAAGAAATAAATATAATTTTTACATTTTTCACAAATTTTATTTTTAAATATATTCGTAATCTTTTTTTATAAATATTGATTAGTTTGCATTGAAATGTTGATGTTGTTTTGCATAAATTTCGAATAACGAAAAAGCATGTTCGAATACGAAAATACATACATCTCTTCACACGTTGCAAAATTTTATTTTGAATTATTTTTTCATCGTTCCAAAAATGTTACAAACAAGCAATTAACAAATAAAAACAAAAAAAAATGGGTTGAACTAATCTCTAACAACAGCTATCGCAATACAAAAATCTCTAATTCCTCGCATAACAAAGTCATCGTCATTAATTAATTAATCAAAATACGCTAATATTCTTTGCATCTAATCGAATAGCTTTCCGATTTGTTTTCGACAACTGGCATGATTTTTTCGTTTAATTTAATTATCTTTCAATTAAGTAAAAATTAATCCATCAATTCTCATCCATCGTTACATATATTTACAGACGACGAAGGAATAGCGGAATCAGGAATGTGATGTTCGAATACCTCGATTCATTCAGGGATCAACGAACACGAGGATGCTTTAGAGATATTTTGAGAAGAGGTGCGGTGCACCGTGAAAAAAAAAATATATATATATATAGTATTACTACGAAACATGCGTGGCATGTTGTCGAAAATGAAGAAAAACCGAGGAAAATGGAAGAAATTCGTCGTATACTCACGAGATATACCAGAAGTGCTTCTAAAAAAGAGACGAGAACCTAGCTTAGCTTCGAAGTGATTTACGTCTTTTTTTAGTTTTCTTGCAAGAGGAACAACAACAACAACAACAACAACAACAGTCAAGACTATTGCATCTTCTCACAAAACGTTTCGTGTACGTGGTAGTAAACGAAATACGAATGTGCTCCAAGTCGATGAATAATGGCGTATATTATATACATACATATACATATACCGTCGACAATAATCGCTTCTTCGCGTTCGAACTTTCACCGCGAGAATGTGAATGATACGAGTGAAAAAGAAAGTACCGTTCGACGATCGATGCCTCGACGAACGATCGTCGAACAGGTTTCGATCGATCGATGAACAAGATTATTCCTTTCTACGATGGTTTCGACGATGCATTTCATCATCTCATCCGATCGGGTTCGTCTTCCGGGGAAACGGAAGGGGAGGGAGTCGTCCCCGATGGAAAGGGGGAAATACGAACACGAACACGCACGAGCAGATTCTGACGATTCCTACGAGCGGAATGATGAAATTTTGCGGGGTATTCGAGGGATTCGAGATTATTATATTTCTATTTCTAGGGAATTCGATCGAGAGGAGGGGACATAGGAAGCGAGTTTGCTTGCGAAAACGAGTCGTTTCGCTCGAATTTGTGCGGGATTTGTGTATAGATTGTAAGGAAGAGGAATTATTTTTTTTTTTTTTCGCGACGAAACTGCTTCTACTGTATTCGGGAGAATGTAACGTAAAGTTGAAAACGAATGGAAACGAATTGATGTGATTTTCATTTGCGACGAGTGGCTGTTAGTGGGAGAACATGAGAGATGAGCGTGTAGCATCGTAAACGATTTCTCCTCGCCTCTGTTCTTTTCTGTAAATAATAATGTAAATCGATGATACTAAATGTTCCCGAAACGACGAGGCGGTTTTTCAGATCGGATCACGGGAGAATCGTCGAAATTCCGGGATCGAGGAGTGTCTCCGCCTCGATTTTCTTTTCTTTTCTTTTTTTTTTTCTTTTTCTTTTTTTCTTTTACGAAAAAAGGCGACGATTTTTAGGTACCTATCGTGATGTAGATAAATCTCCAAGTTGCATATCTTAAGGATTGTAAGATGCGTATCCCGCGTTGGGTTGCCACGTTGCGATCGAGATCTTTGAATTGAATTTGAAAAATCAATTTCTCTTTCTCTTTTTCTTTTCTTTTCCTTTTTAAATAACGTAACGAACATCGTTTCTCTTCTCGCCTAGTTTTTTTCTTTCTTTCTTTTTATCATTCACGGATACAATTTACTAGAAAATCGTATTCAAAATCGTGAGTGGCAACCATCCGTCCAAGGGGATGTAGTAGAGACGCCGATTAAAAACACTGCCTAGAATGAAAAAAAAAAAAAAAAAAAAAAAAAAAAAAAAAAAAAGAAAAAAAACAAACGGGGAATACGAAATAGGAAACGAGAGAAGAATGGATTTCCTCCTTTTTTTTTCATGATAGGAAGAGAATTAAGAAAAATAAATAAATAAATAAATAAAAGTAAAAAAAAAAAAAAAATTTAACATGTCAGTGGGAACAAGAAACTCGCATCTTCGTAGAAGTCATATCACTCTTTTCACGAGAATCACTCGACGATCCGTATAATAATACATAATATTTACTCATCGACAGTTCGATTCTTCGAAATCGACGTTCTTCGAGATCGTTAATCATAGATCGTAGATCGTTCGTATCTTTTGACATCGTTCATCGACGCGTTTCGTGTGTCGTTTCGTATCGTTATGGGATTTATTTCTCTCTCTCTCTCTTCCTCTCTCTCTCTCAAAAAAAAAAAAAACAAAAGAAAGAAAAAGATGAATCAATGAACCGGTGAACGAGCCTTCGACGCGACGGACCAAAACTGCTTGTTTGCACGATTCGAACGATGATCGATGATTAATAGGATTACAATTTAGACAGGAATATCTAATAAAGTGGAGGATACAAGTGGAGGAAAGAAACGATCGAATCTTCAAGCGATTGAAAAAAAAAAAAAACGAAATTGGACGAAAATCGTTGGAACGACTACGACTACTACGACGTTCCGTCTTAGAACGGAAACGGAAGTATCTTCCGGTACTTAGAGGTCAGAAGATTTGCTTGATGCTACAAAAAAAAAAAAAAAAAATCTGTGTACTTAATTTTCTATATTTTACCATATTTGAGGCAATGCTGTCGAGGGTGGGTGAGGGGGAGGGAAGGGGAGGGAGGGGATAGGTGATTTTTACGCGTTTGAGAGTCGCGTAAAAATTCGGATTATTCTCGAATCAGGGTAAAAAAAAAAAATTGATTCTCTCGAGTATGGGGGGAGGGAG